TTTGGAGAGTGCATGAACTGGCTGACAACATGTACAGCATAAGCAATATATGGTCGAGTGAGAGACAGATATATCAACTTCCCTACCAGTTTTTGGTATCTTTCTTTATCAAGGTAGTCCTCTCCAACTGATTCCTGTAGACCATGGTTCTGTTCTATTGGAGTATCTGTTGGTCTACACCCCATCATACCTGTCTCCCCTAGAAGGTTAAGGACATACTTCCGCTGACATATATAGATGCCCTCTTGTGACCTAGCAACTTCAATTCCAAGGAAGTATCTCAGATGGCCCAAGTCTTTGATTTCAAACTCAGAAGCCAAGAACTCCTTTAATCTTTTTATCTCTTCCAGATCATTCCCTGTAATCACCATATCATCCACATAGACGATGAGTACCGTAAGTCGGTTATTCTGTTTCCTTATGAACAAAGTATGATCTGCACCACTTTGAGTGTATCCCACACTCTTCATGGCCCCACAAAGTCTCTCAAACCAAGCCCGAGGAGACTACTTTAGGCCATATAATGCTTCCTTAGTTTACATACTTTCCCATCAAAGCCATAACCTAGTGGAGGATCCATGAATACCTCTTCACGTAGATCACCATTTAGAAAGGCGTTCTTCACATCCAACTGATGTAGCTCCCATGAGAAATTTGTAGCTAATGACAATAAGACCTGGATTGTGTTGAGATTTGCGACTGGAGCAAAGGTCTCTTTGTAGTCAATCCCTTCCTTTTGAGTAAACCCCTTTGCCACAAGTCTGGCCTTGTATCTTTCAATGGACCCGTCCTCCCTATGCTTTACAGTGAACACCCACTTGCATCCCACAGTGCTCTTCCCTTCTGGTAGATCCACTAATTCCCAAGTCCTTGCTTTCATTAAGGCTTTCATTTCTTCATTCATAGCCTCTTTCCATCTTAGATCAGATACTGCCTCTGAGTACCTAGTAGGAACATGCACAGAGGAGAGAGCAGACACAAGGAATAATAACGAGGAGATAAATGTGAGTAAGAAACAAATTCAGCAATGGGGTGTCGGACAGTACAAGAATGGGTAGACTTACGAAGAGCAATAGGGAGATCCAAATCAGAAGTATGAGTGATAGGATTACCTGGAGCTGCTGAGGCAGATTGATCCAAGTCCGATTGATTGCTGCCATGAGTTAGAGGGTCTTTTTTCCTTCTGTTGTAGGTGATTCTTATATCTTTTTGTTGCTTACTGGTGTCCTCAGTTACATTTGTAGCATCAAGAGTGGTAATAGGTGCAATGGGAGCCTCACTAGGTTCACCCGGGATGCTACAACTAGGAGGGGATCAGGAGGAGAAGATGGAAGGCCTGAGGCAGAAAGAGGCACAAAACGGGAGAGGAAAGAAGAATCTTCTTCCATCCCACTAGTCTCCCCCTAAAGAGGATTCTGGGAAGAATGAAAATAGGAGTGAGACTCAAAAAGTACCACATCTTTTGTGACGTATTTCTTCTTGGTGACGGGATCATAATACTTGTAACCTTTCTGTGTAGGAGAGTACCCAAGAAAGATTCCTTTCGTAGCCCTAGGGTCCAACTTGGTCTTCTTTGGATTCTTTACATGTATAAAACATACACAACCAAAAGACTCTAGGTGGAAGAGGCAAGTCAGGAAGATTAGGGCAAAGGACAGAGAAAGGAGTTTTCATACCCAACACCTTGGATGGCATCCGATTTATCAGATATGATGCGGTAAGGACTGCTTGAGTCCAGTAGTGCTTGGGAACCTTGTGCTGAAATAATAAAGCTCGAGCGGTCTCCAATAAGTGTCTATTTTTGCACTCAGCAACCCCATTCTGTTGAGGGGTACTAGCACAGGATGACTGATGTAGCATGCCAACATCTTCCATGAACAGGTTCAAGGATCTTTCAAAATATTCAGCAGCATTGTCTGAACGGAATTGCTTAATCTTCTTGTCAAATTGAGTTTCAATCATTTTACAAAATGCCATGGTTATCCGTGGCACTTCATCACRTCCTTTTAACAAGTAGACCCATGTGCATTGTGAGTAGTGATCAATAAAACTGATAAAGTAACGAAAGCCATCCACAGAAACAAGGGGTGAAGGGCCCCAAGCATCATAATGGACCAAATCAAAAGGAGCATTATTAGAAATTGGATAAAGAGTTCTACATTGTTTTGACAACTAACACTTCACAAACTAAACTTTGACTCGAAATACCCTTGAATAATTCAGRAAACARCCCTTGCAATGATGAAAAAGGTAAATGACCTAGCCTAGCATGCCACAAGTGTAACCTAGCTATTGACTCCTCATTATTCTGACTACCGGTAGCAGATGATTATAAAGCCGAACTTATGTCTGCATCAAAATAGTAGAGACCTCCATACTCATGACCGCTCCCAATCGTTCTCTTCGTCAATCTGTCCTGAAAGACACAATGAGTAGGAAAGAAAGTTACGCTACAGTTTAAATTCTTGGTAAGCTTCGAAACAGATAAGAGATTGGAAGTAAGGTTTGGAACATGTAGAAAAAATTTAAGAGAGGTTCTTGCTTGGCTCAACCCCCCCCCTTCCCAGAGATGGTGGAGGGAACCATCAACAACTCTCATCTTATCTTGGCCAGACATCAATTGGTAAGAAGAAAATAAAAGGACGTGTGTCATGTGGTCAGTTGCACCGGAATCAATAATCCAAGAAGGAGAGTCTATAGAACTAGTTGTGCTATAAGCAGAGACAATACCTGACTTGGCAAGAGAGGTGGAAGCAAGGGAATTAGTCCTTAGACGGGTTAGGGCCCGGCTAAGGACCTCTACCTCATTAGCAGTGAAACCCAAGGACCCAGATGTGGAGGAATTAGCAGTCTGTCCCATGGGAGAAGATGCAACTGCAGATGTGTTCTTCGAGTTATCACCACTGTGACTAGTAACATGGTTTCCAATTGTTGTTTGATTCTTCTGGGGCTTCTTGTCTTTCCTTAAC